ACACACACACACACACACACACACACACACACACACACACACACACACACACACACACACACACACACACACACAAACAGTATAGATGGTAGTGGTTGATCTGCTGAATTGGAAGTTTCAAAATGATTCTCCACAAAACCAGTGGGTGATGCCAGGGTGGCTATACAGTACTAGCCCTGTGACGCATGGGTCTGATCAGGTGTAATTCACAGCTGAGGGTGTTTAAATTCCTCAGCTAAACCAGTGACAGCTTTCATAAAAACAAGCAGCACTGTTCCATAGCTGCGGTTCAAGCATCTTATTCAGTCTTATCTCTGCTTTTTCACTTAGTTTTGGTTTTATGTGAATTTTTTTCAGTGCTCCATAATTGATCGCAGCACTTTTTGACAGAAACAAAGTACCTAGCGAATAATTAAATGTCAGTGTCTATCATATACTGTGTATTTTAATAGCGCTTTATTTCCTCTAAAGCACTAAAACTCTACTTTCTAGTAAGAGCTTTTCATTCCTACACGTGCAGTTTAGATTGTAAACTGTGGAGGATTACTAAGAATTGCCTGTCTTATGAGACAGAGATAGATGGAAGCAGGTTTCTCATATTCTGACTAATGAGCGTTTCTAAGCAGGCTGAAATGACAGCTAATCAAGCTGCTGTTAGTGTCGCTTATGTCTTTCTAGCTGGCGTGCGTTAAAGCAACAACACTGTGAAAGCCGATCCTGACATTGTGCATCGGTAGCCTTCACACTGACTAACATTATGCACACTGTCTCAACATGCTAAGAAATCTAAAGCTTGACACAGCTGTCATTGCTTGGACGCTTGCTCTGCTTGAACTTGTGGGCTGGCATGAACATGCTTAACGTCTGCATTTGACACCAATTTTGAATCACAGATGGATTCATTTAGATTAAAAAAGTGTTTATGAAGTGTAAGCGTGATACCGGTGCTAGAGCTATCTGCATGTTTGCACATGGCCTTACTGTGTTGGGTACGTTGCACGTGTTTCACATGTGAGGCTGCGTAGGTTAAACGAGGAATGTCTGATACACTTCCCATAAGAGTTCAAACTCTGCTCACACATAACACACGTATATCATATTCAACCTGGACCCTAAACCTCACATTTAACACCTTTACCCACTCAGACAAAGCAACCTCAACCCCCATTCCACCTACTGTCTCCCGTAATGTTTAGTCAAGACGATAATGAAAGTATCATTTAGGTAAATAAACAGGAAAACCACAATTGCTAAGTTTAATCCGAGTTGTACTGCATTACTAGTTGCCCAAACATGGGTCTCAGACAGGCGTAGGGATTGTGAGAAAACCTCAGGACCCCGAGTTATAAACAATACCTTTCAGTAATATGACAACTTTGAGGACTCTGATCAGTATAAATGCAATAAATCCATTAGAGCACACATTTTTCTGAAGCATCTTAAAAACAAAATAAATAAAATACGCTGAGACTAAAATGCAAATTTGGCATTTGTTCGAGCAATGTGCTATTACTCATTTCTTTGGCTGAAGCTTCCAGGCTCACTAACAGAAACTTTATGAACATTATGCATTTCCCTCCATTTTGCTGAGGCTCATTACTGTAAGGTTATGGCCATTCCTATTTGTGAAAGTGTCTCAGTAAAAAGTAATTGCTGCCATAAGTAACAGAAGAAATTCTTACTGCGCTACATGCAATAGGAGGGACCCTTTAAGGAAGGACAAGACAGCACAATCAGCATCTGTGTGCAGTTTTATGTGTGTGTGTCTGTGTGTAATGACAGGGCTGGAGGTCTTAGTCCTGCTTGTAAACAGGCCTGTAAATGTAACTAACGGCTTCCTCAGTCATCTCGCCAAAACCACCAGACCCATGCAAGTCTGCACTGGATTCCAAGCTACCATCTGTGCCTAGCAACAGACTCTTCACACAGCTGGGCGGTTCCCATCAGCTTTGTATATAATTACTCTATTAGTCACTATAGGGGGCTGGCACATGAGCACATTCATAATTTTTCCTTAACTGTTTAATACAGATTTAAGGAAAAGGGGCTTTATGGGGGAATTGTGGGCAGTGACACAATTACCCAATTCACTATCCTGCAAGTACTTCACACACAACCTGCAGCGCAGCTATGGACACACAAGTCAGCCAGTCTTTTACCTTGAAGATAAATAAAGACAGAGATGCTGATATTTTGGTAACAATCCGGTTAATTCATTGCCACCAATCTCTGGCTTTTTCCGATTAAATATGGGGTTAATTCACTTCTCCAAAGCATCCCCTCACTGTTAAGACAAGACAAACAGGGAAGAGCTGTGAAACAAGTAGAAGAACATGTGACAGGATTTGTAACTTACCCCAAGATCTTTCAGATGAACTGGAAAGTCATTCATAAGCCAGAACTAATGGCCCAGTGAGTATTTAACCTTACTGATGTGCTGCTTTCTGAATGCACCGTGGCATGGCACTATAACTTAGTCAGCTATGCTAAACTGGCATTTAAATAACCCATAGCTTCTCTTCTTTCCTCATTCTCTTGTAGATGTGGACACAGCCACAGGAGGAGCTTTTAGCTCATTTTCATCAGTTTGACAAAAAAAAGTATAACTTCAACAGAGGTACTTTCTAATTAGTTTATATTTTTATTTCATTTTTTAAAAAAAATTCAGTTTAGTTTCAGATTCCAGAATGGATTTTCTTCTTTTACTTTCATTTTTATTGTTGTAAAATGTTTAGTTTTAGTTAATTTTTTTATTACTATCAGCATTAGTTTTAGTCTTTTTATTTATTATTGTATGGAGGGCATATGCCAGAGGCAATATTTTTGAAACTCAGTGCAGGTATTACAATAAAAACACTGAACTTTTTCAAAAGCAGATGACTCTGTTTGCAAGAGACGTCCATGAAACCTTCATCAGTGAGACATTTTTATTGATTTGTTTAAGTAGTTTAAGCGTTTTGCATTTTCAAAATTTAGCTAAAATGGTATTTCATATCTATCTATCTAATCTTATTTTTAGTTTAGTTTCAGTTAACCATAATAGCAATCGCGTGCAATGAACTGTGGTCTGAGCTGTCAGCTACAACACAGCAAGTGTTTAAATATTATCTGAAGAAGCAAGACAACATCCTGCGCTAATGCATTGCCATTTCTACCCCCATTTTCACCGCAACAACAAATAACAATAAGAGATAACATTAGTTTCCACATTGTTCACACATTAGCAAAAAGCCCCGTTATTACAATTCCTGCACACTTGATGTAACGCTGTCATTTATTTGAGTTTTTGACTGTGGAGTCCGATGACTCAAGTTCAATATTCACTCTCCTCAGCCAAATACGGGAGGGAGAAGTGTGCGTTTTTGGTGCTAATTTCTCAACTATTTCCGGTGTTCAGTTGTCATCTGTCTCTCTGTTGTTTGGCACTGAGAATGTGGTGTAATATGGGTTACAGCCAGTGACAATGAACTAATACAGAAAAATCTGTGACTATAAAATCAACACAAACAATGTCATAAAACTCTGTAGCACTTTGAGAAATCTTGCTCCAAGGCTTCGGAGTCTGTTCCTACATTAACATATTTTTCTTAGCAGCTCAAAATCAAGAAGGAGAACAGATCAGGAAGCAGCTGGGAACCATCCAGAAATATTTGCGATGGTAAAACAGATCATTGACGGCAGTGAATTAAATCGGAGATTCAAAGAGGCGAGTTTTTCCAACACCTGACGGGACAGTTTTGCGGGCAGGGGGATGTGATATGTGAAGCATCCTGAGCTCTGCAGTTCTTTATGTTGCTGTTATGACACCACAGGGAACTTCATAGCAGATTGTTTTGAGTGGTGGTTTCCAAGGCACAGTTTAGTTCAGAGGAGAGGAATGGTGAGAGCCTTAACGATTTCACCAGCCAGAGTTTTGTTCTGCTGTAAAGATAATACTCCTGACTATGAATAAAGTCTAAACAAACATGAGCTTTCAGTCTCTTTACAAAATTTAATACTTATTCAAACATGAAACCGAAAAAAAATGAATACACAGAGCTGCTTTTGTATTTTTCCAGATCCATTTTGCAATCTTTCCACTTTGTTTAGGTCATCTTTTGAGCAAATCTGTGAGTCTGGAAGTAGAAAAGGCAAAAATTACACATTATTTTGCAGTGAAGGACATTTGCCACGTCAGTGACTTGCAGTCAGTGCACCAACAACAGCACCTTCAGTCGCTGATTCTTCTCTCAGTGGTGTTTCAAGCAGCCTTTAGGGCGTTAACTCGTGTCATCTGGCTCCACAGTGAGCTCTTCTGTATCTGGCAATCTCACAAACCAACACCTGCATCTAAGAAGGTGCAGGTGTTGGTTTAGAGACACTATTAATGGCTCACTCTAACAAAATATGCACCATATTTTAAATGTGGTTCCCCTTAAATTGCAGTTTCTTCCAATAAATACGTGGCTTATTTATGATCATCATGCTTCATGGTTCGGAAAATGAGGAATACATTAGAGGTCTGGTTTAAGTGTGGGAGGGCGAGTGATTTACAGAAAAAATAAGCTAAAAAAAGTAAAGATTATTACCGCAGTTGCTCTCCATAGGTCATTAGTGCAACCATGTTATTACATCTGCCAAGGAGGTTGCAGTATGTACAATACCATTTTGTCAGGTTACAAGCAAGAAGTTAAGGGAGAGGTGGAGCGTGGGCAAAAGAGGAAGCCTTTAATTCCTGTTGTCAGTGCATTAGGCACTCTAATCACGCACAGTGATTGCATAAAAAAGATATTTAACAATACACTGATTTTCCACTCTTTATTATTAGCACATTAGCAAATTCGTCATAGCTAATCATAGCTGCCAGATATGAAGTTAGGTGATACGTCTCCAAGATCTCTATCAAAATCAGCTTTGATACACAGACTCAGAACCACATCTTAAAAACTCTTTATATCACCCACCATTTTTGCGGTATGAAGGAATATGTCAGAAAACAGTCGATTATTATTTCAAGTTAAGACCTGTAAATACAGTGAACTGTATTATTCATATTATAATTATAATGCTTTATTTCCAAAGGTGAATCTAAGGTTATCTTATCACAGAGCCACCATGTTTACACAGGGAGGAGATTGGGCTAGATGGATGGGTCAGGTATGGCCATAGCAAGTCCTACATGTTTAAACCCAACTTTTGTGACAACAAAAAGAGGTAAAAAGATCAATATATTTTCTGCTGATTGTAGAACTGCTGACATCTTTAAAGTTTCACAGAAGGTAAGATTATTTGACCTCCTCCTATGTTAACAGTATATATATGTGGAAATTTGGGGAAATAAAGCTTTGATTTTTTATAACAGAACGATGAGAGGACTGATGTCACTTTAAATATGTTGATGAACTACGAAGCAAAAACAAGGGAAACAAGTGGAGACTATTAGCACAGCTCTGAAAAGACTGTTACTCAAAATAAGGAGGTGATCAAGCACGTTTCTGAAAATGTTAAACTGTTACTTTAAGACAGCATGATGTGGTTTTGTATTGTGTTTACAGTCCCTCAACAGCAACACAGAACCAGCAAGCTTTTTGCTTCACTTTGTCTCCTTCCACCATGACTTCATACGTAGCCAGCAGACTGCCGGCTGGTTGTCACTGGAACAAATTTGTACACTCTTTTATGGTTGATGCTCATCCCTCAAAGGAAGTCTGTGTGAGTGACTCCGGACTGGTAAAAGTGGGTCCAGACATTGGACAAGTATGTTCAGACCATCAAAAACATGCAGCGTTTGGAAGAAATTGCATCACTGGGAAAATATGGTAGTGGATTTAGTGAGAAAAAGACAAACCCAAGTACTGTTTTTAAAGTTCTGAGTATCTGTATTTAAGTATTATAAACGTTAATAATGATTAAACGTTCATTTTATTCGCTTAAAGAAATCATGTCGTGTGCTGTTTTTGTTTTTTGGTCAAATGTAGTTCAGGTTTTCAAATCTTTGCTTATGCTAAGCGAATCTTTCCCGCTTATTTTACTGAATTAAATTGAATTTTCTTAAACTGATGACGCACCTATCTCAGAAATGATCTGTGTCACAATGATTGGAAAATGAGGGAAATTACGATTATGAGAGTTCTACCTGACTCTTATTAGAAAATACTTCTCCTTTATCTTAGATTATTAGTAATAGTTGTATTAATATTTGATAATAGTCAGCAGTATATAATTCACTGGGGAAATACCAAAATCGCAATTATACATACATTCAGTGCTGATTTGAGTCGATGGCCTTGTGTTTATCTTTACAAATGTAACTCCCACACAGTTCTCAGTATTCACTGCAGTCTGTGACAGAACTAGAAAATGAAAAGTATTATTGCACCCACTTTGTCAGTGCAAATAGAACACCAGCTGCCTCGAGACACTAGTTTTACACCTATCGGCATCTTTACATCTTTTCTTTCGCCTCACTGAAATCTATGCCAGTCAAGGTTATTCACCACCACCAGCTCTGATCAGCTGATTAGACGCATAATAAACAGGGAAATGACAACAGAGTGCAGAAATGTTGTGCAGTCTAATTGCAATAAGTACTTTCGAGGTATTGAGAAACAGCCCAAGGACTGTGGTCTTCACTGCATTTGTATTCTGTGTTTTCCTCATTAGGCTTTATTAGGTCTGACATCACTGTGGGGAGATTGAAAAGTTTAAATAGACAGTTTGTAATTAATTGCATTGCTGACATGATGTAGCTGCATAAAAATTAAATCACAAATTTTATACATACTGAGTTTTTAGTTTTTGCTTGTATATTTGAAAAAAGACAGGTACGCATGTGATGTATATGTATATGTATATTTTTGTTTTATTTTATTTATCATGGAAATCAGTTGTTGACTTGAGATTTAAAGAATCTAACAATAAAGAGGTTTACAAAGTCAAAGCATGCTTCATGTTCATTTTCCACCCAACTCCACATGTAGACTGGTGTGGCTGTTAAACAGGGTGCAGCTAGCTGAGTCAGATCCGCTCCTGGGAAAGCTACTGAATTTTGCCATTCATACATGCTTCCTTTGCCCAAGGGCAGCTCAGTTTAACCAGAGCACATTGTTCAGTAAACTCAAAAATGAGATGGGTTGTCACTGTTCCTATTCACTAATAACAAACAGATGTTTAAAACCTGATGATTCAGAACTTGGAAAAGAGAGAAAGCCACGAGGCTGCAGTGGCAGTATAAGAAAGGGTTTGATCAGAACCTCTGTCATTACCAATAAATAACACTGGTTTAGGGTTAAGTTCAAGCTTTGCTATCTTTTGAAGCTCAGTTTTCCTCTAACCACCACCACCTGGCTGCGTATCTACATATTTGAACACATAATCAGACTCTTCTCTGGTTTTAAGCTTTAAAGCTGGGCTGTTAGAGTTCACATTATGGATATTGAAATGCTGAGTCGTGGTTGGAGGTTTGATGGGTTGACAGTTACATAGAGCACCGCTGTGTTGGTTTTGTGTTCAAAAAGTGGAGTCAGATGTAAATGCGTTGAAGCACTCGCAGGCAGAACACCCAGTCAGGAGGCAGCTGATGGTAGGATATTTTGTTTCCATCCAATCGTAGAAACTTCATCTTGGAGTAAGACTGAGGTCCCACCTCTCTGCAGAAACTGGTCACATTGAACTCTGTGGTGAACAGACAGAAAGGTATTTTTATTTTCATAATCTCTATTCACCAGAGTCACAACCATGTGATTAATGCTGTCTCGCCAAGATATTATAGGTACCAAGCCAGTCTGGAGAGCTCTAGTTTCACATCATGTGCCACGTGTTTGTCACGTTCAGAGATCAAAGTTGAACTGTGCAATCTGCAGAAATCCGTCCTCTTCCCATAGAGTCTGCATTTACCATCTTACAGGTGCTGCAGTAAAGATGTAGACAGAGGAAACCACAACACCCTCTTCATATTTCTCTGAGCCATTTCAGTAGTAAAAAGTCTTTCAGGCCAGAGCGTGCGCTTTGGCAGCCAAAGACTGCAGTAGCAGTCAGGCTGCTTGCTAGACGATGAGGTGTATGTTATTGTGGAAGTATTTTGCTGTCTGTCTGTCTCGCTGGTACACAGCCCCACTGTCTGCTGCATCACACATTCAGAAATGAGAGCAAACTTGAACGGCTAAACCAAAACTGCGTGCCAGTTCTCTGCCGCTAAATGGTCATGTGAGTCAGGTTTTGGCTGAAAAGTCAAAAAAATCAAACTGATGGGGAGCAGACGGAGAGAGAGGAAAGCGGAGACTGAAGAGGGGAACAGCATGTGCTTCTGGCTCATCTGGCACTCTTACCTTCGAATCCATCACAGATGTTGCCATAGCACTCCCTTCACTTGTTTTTCACTAGCTCCACTTTCCACACGTCTAACCAATTAATATCCCCTCGTCTATTCTTACCTCCACCCTCCTTTCTCTCCTTTTCTTTCCTTGTCTCTCCTTCTGTCCCTCTGCCTTCATACTTGCCTCACCATCCAAACCCAGCCCCTCCCATGTCTGCATACAGCAAGGAGAGCCGCCCATTTTTAAATGGGATGGGCTGTGAAAGCTTTCCACATTTCTTCTCTATTACAGCAGGGCTTTGTGTTGTTGAATGGTAACATGTATGAAATATTAGGAGACGTGAAGTCAGTAACACCTCTACAATGTCTGTGCATGCTTTGCTGAACGTATAGTCCTCACCTTGTATTTTATTGGCCTCCAGGTAGAGGTACTGGAGGGTGGTGGGGACTGTGGGAATAGCAGTGAGTTTGTTATATGAAAGGTCCAGCTCCACCAAGCTGGAGTGGTTAAAGACCTGCGAGTGGACCTCACGGTTCTGCAGGCCACAGTGACTTAGGCGTAGATACTTAAGGTTGAGAAATCCCTCAAAACTGTCCACATCCAGTCCAGTGAGAGAGTTGTTTGACAGATAGAGCTGCTCAACGGAGGAAGGTAAGTGCCTGGGAATGGTTGAAAATGAATTCCCGCTGAGGTCCAACAGGTTCAGACTGACCAGACCTACATGACAGAAGTGATGCACACACACACAAACATGCAAAACATAACACCGATGCTAAAATAGTTTTTAGGACAAAACATTTCCTAGTGAGATGAACACGTAAAAATATTCTTATCTTTCCTGGCAGTGTTTAGGTACAATACAATTTCTTTTAATTACCGAGTTGTTTTTCTGTTTGTTTTTTTGTCAGCAGTATCAGGCTGAGCTCTCTCTTATTTTCCAGCCATACGTGTTTAAAGTAAATTGTGCATGAACAAACAAAAGGAAATGACACATTACGCTACCTCTGAGGTCTCCCTCTGTAATGGTATTCAGTCTGTTTCCCTGCAGCAGCAGCAGTGTTAGGCTATGCAAGTTCTGGAAAGCTTCTGGGTTGATGCTGCTGATTTGGTTGTAGGCCAGTCGCAGCTGTTTGAGTCCAGCTGGTAAAGCACTGGGCACTGAACTCAGGTGGTTGTGGTTAGCAAAGAAGTACCACAGCTGGGTCTGGCTCTGCAAAGAGTCCTGCGTCAGGTTGTCGCTCTCCAGTTGGTTGTTGTCCAGAATGAGCCATCGAAGCCCAGTAACATTGGCCAGCACGGAAGAGGACAGGGTTGAGATGTTGTTGCCCTGATAAGAATGCAATTCACTACCTGAGGAATTTTGTCATTTAATACTGATGAAAAGCATATAGAATATATTGTAGTGGAAACTGAGGCGAAACCTCAGTTGGTTTCCACTAGACCACTTTAAGATAACACATGCACACAGTGTTTGTCCTACCTGTAGAAACAGGTATTGAGTTCTGTCGGGCAGGCTGTCAGGGATGTGTGCTAAAGCTCTCTGGTCACAATAGAGCGCTGTGGGCCACTGGATGGGGCAGTCACACTCTTCAGGGCAGAGCTGCGGATTATTAGCCCGGAACCAGGCTGGATCCATTCGCCCCTGCAGACTCAGCACACTGGGCTCACCTAGCAGGCGGTTAATCCACAGAGGAACGCCTCCATAGTCCATATCAGCTACAAATGTGCCTGAAGCAGACTGAAAACCACTCAACAGAAACAGGAGGCCAGAGCACAAAAGAGCCATGGACATGGCTGGGGGGATGTGTGATGCTGTAAATGAAACATTAAGAAAAACCTGAACACCATCATAGATTTGACAAGTAGTTTTACAAGTCATGATCTGTACGACTACTTAGAAAGGAACAATATGTCCATAAGCCAAACCTGTAAGTGTTAATTTTGAATGGTCTGCCAGGCATAAGAGCTCCATCATAGATTATAGGAGGAGGAGCTTCAACTATATAAGCTCCAAAGCATCTTTTTTTTTCACAATCATGTGAAAAAGAAAGTTTTCAAAGGACTCTATGCAGTAATCTGAAAAACTGAGCACACTCCATGAATCAGTAGCATTTTCTGTATGACCTCATGAGTCTCTCACAGTGTTGTTTACAGGGTTGCTTCAGTTCACTAAGATTTGCATGCATTAATTTATGCGGAGCTCTTGTGAGGTCCTGCCGCAGCATTTCAAGCTGAGGTCTGGACATTTACTGCACCATTGCAACACTTTGGTTCTTTTCTATTTTGGGTGTTCTGTTGTAGATTTGCTGGTGTGCTTTGGATCATCATCCTGTTAAATGACCCAATTTGGGCCAGGCCTTAGCTGTCGGACAGATGGTCTCATGTTTGCTAGGTGCCCAATCCCTGTGGTTGCAAAACAAGTCCACATCATAAACCCTTCATGAGGTGTTTGTGCTGATATGTTGTGTCTGGTTTTTGCTGAATGCAGTGGTGGACTTTATGGCTAAACATCTACACGTTGGTGCTGTCTGCCAAAATGACATTGTTGCATAAATCCCTTCCAAAGAAACCATGTTCAGTGTTTTTTTTTGTTTTTTAATTTTCCAGTCATGAACTTTAGCATTTGACATACTAAGTCTGACATGTAGCTCTTGAGATTTTTGGAAGTTCTCCAACTATTGTAAGGTCAAATCGGGATGTGATGTGAACGTTACTTCCTAAACTGCACTGTTTTTATGAAGAGCCTCAAGGAGCCACTGGTGTGACAGTTCATGTTTAATCTTGTTCTATCTGTCTCTCTTAAATTCACCAAATTAATAGAAGTGTGTGAGTGTAAACCTCCTGAGTGTTTCTTTAAAAAGACTTGGACATGGAATGAATGAAATACCAATACTTGTTCACGTACTTAAGAATTTAGGTATCTGTGTTTTACTGGAATATTTGTTTTTCTGACACCTTTTTACTTTTATTTCGTTTGTAACAGAAATATCTCTACTGTTGGTATCCTTCACGGGTGCTTATTGCATATGAAGAAATGGGGGGAAAAAACAAAAACAAAAACAAAAAAACAACATAATTTATGCATCTTTTACAGCACTGTATTCGGGGGATAATGTGGGTCGGAATGATCTAGACAGCATATCTGGTGTTGATATTTATATGCTGTGATCACAGTACCTCAGTATCATGAGCCTCACTTAAGATCAAGGAGCATAAATGGAGTAACATGGCAGTTATTTTGAAACGTAATTTTTCTATCAACTCAACAAACATCAGCAAATTTGATCTATATTTTGTGTTATTTAAAAGTTGCATGAACACACTGGGCAGTTTAGTGCAGGCTACGCTGGTTAGTGATGCATTGTGTTGCAGAGCAGCCATGGTGTTCATGGTCAGTGTTAAGGTATAACAAGGGTAGTAAACAGTAAATTGAACTGATGAAATTAACTCACTAATTTTCACCTTTACATCAGTTTTGTAGCATCTAGGGTTGGAAATCAGCCTCAATAGTTTGTGAAACATCTGCTGATATCTTGATGAACTCGGTTGTGTAAATCCACAAAAGTAGCAGCAACACTAAGCTAATCACAGCCTGCACACAAAGAAATTCTACTGGAGATCACAACATGAATTATTGTGATTTGTTTCTAAATGATTGTTTTCTCAGGTTCCACCACTGCAACTTAGCTTAGGGTTCCCACACCCACTGAATCCCACTTTAACTCTTGACTTTACTCATTTTTCTGTTTACACATGAAGGCAAAGTCACCCATCTACAATGAAGGCAAGAGCAAACAGAGCTAGTGTTTAAGCACATTCATTAGAATTAAAAGTTAGGTTGAAATAAAGTTTAAATTCCTATTTAATAATATCATTTTATTATTATCCTTATACAGCAGGAGCTTCAGTTTCCTTCGCAAAAATTAGCTGGCAGAAATATCGTCAACCTCAACTATTTTCATGTACTTTGATTATATTTCAAAGCCAGTACTTTTTCAATTTTACTTGAGTAAAGAAGTTCAATCAGTGCTTCTGCTGGAGTAAAATTATTTTTTAATGCATGCATCTGTACTTGTACTCAAGTGAAGCATGTGCTTCACTTCAATCTCTGATTACTAAACTGTTCAATGTGAAAATGAATTACTTTTATCCAACTGAAGCTTCAAAAGTTAAACATAAATTTCTGTTTGAAATCGTCTGTGTGAATATTTTTCTTGCAGGATGAAATAAAGTAAAATAGAATAAAATGAATGAAAAAGTATGTGACACGGTTTTCAGTCACCACGTGTGCAGATTGTTGCTTTTGCTTGCACATTTCTTCGAATTTAAACTGATTAAATCTGAGACAGAAGAACAAATTTTCCTACCTTCATATAAAGTGCACAAGAGGACAAACACACACACACACACATATGCAGACACACCTACACATACATGCGCAATTACACATCAAGTTACCGTATAAGATAGCAATTTGTAAGAAATGTTTGCAACATCAGGAAGTTTGACTTGATCTGCATGGTTGCAATGTTGCATTTGCATTCCACCCTTAGAGTCTTACAGTGCAGCATTGCCAAGAGATTTACTGTAACTAAACAAACACACAGTCTGATTTTCATCATTTCCAGTTTTGCCTTCAATGCAGAAAGAGGAAATGGGGTAAACTAGAAACTAACCACAAACTTACCTGTTTGTTTAGGAGACACAAACGGAGACGGGTTGTCCTAAATCCTCAGTGATGAAACCCTTGGGATCTTTGAATGAGTGTGTGTCGGGATGTGTGCATGTGTATATGTTTTCAGGCTACCGGCGGCATATGCCCCGTCTGACACATTCCTCTGCTTCAAACGCTACCAGACCTCCTTCATAAACTTCCCACACTCACTTCTTCCATTCCTCTTGTATTAGCCCGCAGTAACAGCGGTACATTTAGTGGAAACGTGTTTGCCTGCAGAGACGCACAAAAAGATCTGAGAAGGTACGCTAAAGAAGCACAAGGAGGGGGGAAATGAGAGGAAACTGGATTTGAATTGATCAGCATGCAAATTGTATATGTTACTGTTCCTCGAAAGAGAGTGTTTGTGTGTGTGTGCGTGTGTGTGTGTGTGTGTGGTGGTGGGGGTACAGTATGTGATCTGTCTAGAGGCAATTAAGCTACAAAGTACCTGGGGAGCCAAAGAGACCATTCTGTGTGTGCCTATGCGCGCGTGTGTGTAAATATGTGTGTGTGTGTGTGTTTGAAGGAAAGAGCTTCTTGAAAACAGCTGACCAAAAGAGAAGAAAACGATCCCACATTCCTTTCCAGCAATATATTACTGCTGTGCTGCGAGAGAAGAGGCAGTGGGGAAGAAGCAGGCAAAATGATCTCCTGATCACATCATGCAAAGAGCTCCCTCTAGGATAAACCAGGGAGAATCACAATCCTTCATGTGGGCTTCAAAATGTATTAGAGGGGATGGATCATTTCACTTTAACCATGGAGAATTACAAGAACATGTTCTTTAACCAAAAACACCTCATCCAAACTTTATTTTAACTGTGTGGACAAGTGTAACAGATTTTAAGTGTTCATTCCGGTCACACCATTGTAAGCTTTTATTAAGTATAAATTACAATTAGCGACAAGACCAGTGGAAACGACGCTAGGTAGAAATACGACCGTCCACGTTCACTCTGCACTCAGCAGAAACTATCTATGATCGGAAGTGTTTGCCACGCAGCTGCTCTGAAAAGACCACAGCCACACAAGCACAATCAGTTTTGCCTCCTTACGACTTCCACTCAAGATGAAGGATTACATTTTGACACACCTCAGAGGAGAAACCCTGCTGAAAATGGTGCACGAGGAGGTGATTTTGAATGCGATATTATAAAACCCTGGGTTCTAAGTTTTCTGCTGTTAATGTTTCGATCACATTTTGTGGATTACAGATGTTCACCTACCTATATTCACCTTTATTCTTTATTGCCTTTAATTTGTTTTTATATTTAGCTAGTCATTAGTGTTTCACTATTTGTCCCTGTTAATGTTGATATTTATTTACTATTGAGTGGTGGCTTATTATTCACTGTGTTTTAAAGTTTAAAAATCTTGTTTGCGGCTCTTTATGGACTCAGTATATTCCTCGGATTTCTGTTCTTGTCATTTTTGTTACTTCTGACATGCAGGTTGGTTCTAGTTAGTTCCCTTCTGTGTTCCTTGGTGTCCCAATGACATCAGCATTTGTCCTTTGTCTTCCCATATTGCCCTATTTGGTCCTTCTGTTTTCCTGTGTCGAAGCAGTCTTGTCTCCCCGTTCAGCTATGTCTCCCTTGCTGTTTCATTTTTTCATTTCCTCTGTGTCTTTGTGTTTGAGTTTGTATTCTATCTCTTGTTTCAGTTTTCATGCTTCTCCAGCGTCCCCCGTGCCTTCTTGTCAAGTCTTTGAATCTGTGAATCTGTGTTTATTTATTTCCTGTTTTATTTTGTTAGTCTCCCGTCTCTTGTGCCATGTGTGTAATTTTGCTTCCCTGTCTTGCTTCCCCAATGAGTTCCAGCGGTGTTCCCTGGTGTTTCCCATCTTCCTAATTACCTGGTGTGTATTTATTGTCTGAGTCTTGTCTGTTTGTTGTTGTGTCTTCGCCACATGGTATGTGTTTCCTTGCACCGTGCTCCCTGTGTTTTTCTCCTAGAGTTTTTTTGTAAAGTAAAGCTGAGTTCGAAGTCTTATCTTCTAAGTCCTGCACTGGGGTCCACTTCCTGCCTTCCACAGTGCAAACGT